CTATTATCGCCGTATTAACTATTATCGCAAATCGCATATCGGCCACCGCCTCGTGCTCGCGCGACCGGGGGTGGGTAGGGGGGCCGGTGGGGAGCACGCTGCCGTGTGCGCTGCGCGTGCGCGCACCGCACACCATACGGCGGGAAACAGACGGCGAAGGGGGGCGCGGCGGCAGGGGCGCAGCGCGCGCGCGGCGCGCGCGACGGAGGGGCGGAGCAGCGACCGCTGGCGCGGTGTCGCTGCTCCGTCTGTCAGCCAGAGACGCGCGCTCTGCCGCTCCACGCCCGGCTGCTCCCTTGCCCCGTCACCCGCCGCGCCCTCGCCCGGCCGCCTCACCGCGCACGGAGCGCTCGGCTGCTCGCCGCTGCCGCCGCGCGTCCCGCGCCGCCACGCTTGCCCCCACCTTGCCTGACGCGCGAGGAGAGGTAGGAGGTGCTTGCCGCGGCCGGCGAGCACTCCCGCGCCTGCGGAGGGGCAAGGCCTGAGGGCGGGCGGGCGGGCGGGCGGGCGCGGGCGGGGGCGGGGGGGGGATAAACGCTGCGCCGCCACCGCACCAGCGACACCGGCCGCGGCTCGCCTCCACGCGCCGGCTCGGAAGAGGGGCTGTCGGCGGCGCAGCAGAGCGGCTCGCCTCGGCGCTCGAGCCGCCGACAGCCCCACTCCTCGACGTGACGGCCGCTCCCGGAGCCAGCCGGTGCGCGCCCGACCCACGCCCCCTCTCGCACCCCTCCGACCCCCCCTGCGCGGCGCACCTATCCGCTGTGCGCCGGCTCGAGCGCCTATCGCCAAATCGCGACGTTTGAGCGCAGCGCACGCGTCCCACACGTCACGCGCGCACAGGAGAGCGTGCGGCACAGCAGTAGCGTGTACTCGCCGAGGGCATCGCGCCGAAAACCCCGCGCATTCCGCCCCAGCAGAGGCTGCAGCCGATGCGACAAAAACACCATAAAACGGTGAGTACTTGGGGTTGAGTGGGCTTGCTTGCTCCCTCAGCCGGGAGCAAAAATGCAAGAATTTCACAAGGTGTCCCGAATCGTACTGTACACATCCCTGTGTGGTGGCGGCGTGCCGTCCTCCCATCCCTCCCTTGGCTTGTGCGTTTTCTTTCTTTCTTTCTTTGTACACATCCCTCCCTTGAGCTGTGTGTTTTCTTTCTTTTACTGTACACGGCCGGCACGGGGAGCAGCGCACGGGAGGACGCCTGCTCTCGGGGGCTCGGCCGTAAGGCAAGGTAAATGTCTCCAACACAAAGTTGTAGGGCCCGCAACAAAGGGGTGCAACCCTCGCGACTCCACACGGTGTATGAATCTCGTCGTGTCTATCGTGTATCGACCCGCGAACGAGATCGAGAACAGCGCTTAAAGCATCATGCCTGGTCTGCGGGACGCGGGGCTACGGACCGGGACCGGTGCGCACTCGACGGGCGGAGCAGGGGCGCCAGCGTGCCTCTCCCCTCGCCCCGCTCCTCCGCGGTCGGCTAGATTGCCTGGTCGAACTGGCTCGTCGTCTTGCTGAAGTGGAACGGCTTTCGGCGGTCGCGGCCTCGCACGCGCCGGTTGCAGAGCGTGCCGCACACCGCGGCGGTCGCCCCTCCTCCGACGCCCTCCGTCTCGAGGTAGACGTCGAGCAGCATCCTCGCGCGGTGCAGCACCCAGAGGAGGTGGTACGGGGCCCCCTGCCCTGTTCACCTGACAAAGACGGGGGGGCGGGTAGGGGGTTGCAACACGCCCAGGAAAGGCGACCTGAGCTGGCCCCACTCGGCGGGTCTGCGCCGCGCCTCCGGGCCGCTGGGGGGAAGAGGAGCTCCCCCCCCAGCCTCTCGGGTCCACCTCGGTTCATTCCTGGCATTTCGGCTCATTTCGGGTCCCATCTTCGGTTCCATCTTGGGGTCCGATTTTCCCCTCTTGCCGCCCGGGCCTTTGAACTTCGGGCCTCCATTCTGCAGCAAATTGGTTTATCCCCCCCCCCTCCCCCTGACGGAAAATTTCCCCGGAAGGGTTCC